CTCAGCAGTGTCGACTCTCAGTGTGTCGATGATGTGTCGAATCTGAACATTTCATCACCATATCCTTGTTCAGAATTCTCCAGTCCATTCTTATTGTCCATATTTGAGTATCTGAATCCCTTCTGCACATTCCCCCATTATGCTCTGGAAGAAAAGAAAACACCAACCAGTATCTTTTGCAAAAACAAAACATAAAAATTAAAAATTTATATACAATCACAAATTAATATTCCATTATGAATCACATTCCATTTCCCCCCTTTAGTGAATAAGAAACCACTAAATACTAAAACAATAGCAAAATAAATGTAAAGATTATAACACAATTAGATATTCCCACAAACATCCCAATTACACCATGAGTGTCATTCGAACAAAAGCAAGCTTCTGCTCGTACAGTTTCCACTTCCACTGAAACAGGAACTGCCATAATCTTATCTCTTTGATTAGTTAAGTCTATATTTGGCAGATCCATTATCCAAGCGCACTCTCTCTTAGGTTTATATAAATGCACTGGCACAGCCATCCAAGTGTCCTGAAGCTGATTCTTGCTGATACTTCAACCATGATAAAGCACTATATTAACATTTGACAAATAAATGTTCATGTATTATCTCTAAAATTGACGGCCATGTGCTAGGTGATGGAATCCTAACCATACACGGGCACCTCCCGTGAGTAGCCGATCTCAAAGAATGAGTTAACTGTTGGAACCATATATTTCTGCTTGCCCATCGGCCTATAATCTGTAGCACTGAAGCATCAAATCCATAGGCCTTCCATGTAGCATCTCTCTTTCGTAATGCATACAAGTTTCCAGTCCTCTCAGTTTGTGTCCAACTGAAATCAAAAGTATCATAGTCAGTGGTCATGCTATCAGTCTGAGTCTTAATAAATGAATCCTTGGTAGTCCTCACGCTTAGTGGTTCTTCAGTAGATGAGATCACAGTATTCTCAAATTTCTTACTGCTATGTTCTCTATTTCTATAATGGATTTCAATTACATTTGCAAATTCTATGGGCTACAGAGATATCGTAGCTAAATTCTGGATTATATCTATAATTTCTCTAAATACCTCAGATACTATCATTATTCTATCAGTGACCCTTTCCATGTTCTCTTACACTGTCCATCTTTCCTCCACAGCCTCATTTATAGGATTCCTAGCAGTTGTAAATTTAGAAATTATCCATATGGTCATTATATCTGACAAAAAAGACTTCCTGGGAGAAGCAAAGTTAGTTTTCTCTGCCCTTTCCCAGTCGCTGTTGTAGGATTCAGAGAGAGAGAACAGGTCAGGCACAATTGGTCTTCCTAGAGTTGTTTATCTTAGAGGGGTCCTTGTAGCAGGAGACAGCATATGGGGAGGTTCAACCCCTCTTCTGGCTCTACACTTCTCCACTTCATCTTTCTATTTTCTACTGTCTCACTCTTTCTCTATAATTCAACCTCTCTGCTTCACTCCCATATCTGGAAGGTCTACCCATTTATATTTTCTTCCCTACTATCTTGTCCTCTTTCTTCAAACATTTCTCTACACCATCTTTAAACAATCTCTTCTATGTGTACCTGTGAAGACAACACTAATTACATGATACCAAACTTCAACATCCTCATTCTACATTGTTTCTCCCTTTTTCTGAAATTTCAGTAATGCCTTTAAGAGAGTAAAGTAAGGAATTTAATTTCCCCAATTTTATCCCCATTTCTACCATAAACTCACTTGAACTGGTTTGCTTTTAACTTTAATGGGCTTATCATTCACACATCATTCTCAATCCCACAGATCATCCATACCATGTATGGTCTGATCTTATCATACACACAAACCTCTAGACAATTCAGATCAGCCACGTGGCTTTTATGACACCTATGCTCCCAGCAGCACACCCTTGAAGTAGACACAATGTATACCAGACACTGAGTCAACACAAAGTTTATAGTTTTTTACTTTCTTCACTCATATGCCCTCATAGTCATTAGTGGGAATTTTATTTCTCTTTCCCCAAATTCTCACCAAAAGAAACCTCTATCGTGGTGTATTATCCACTAGGCATCACAGTAATTTCCATTCTTGTCTTAGTTACTTCTCTTATATTTAGTCCCCATTTCTGGTTATCCTCTTTATTTGTATTTTCCTTTTTAAGTCGTTTAGTTGTTTGTTTTCTATTTTTTTCTTATTATTATCTCTTCTTTTGCTTTAATGGTTTCAGCAAAACCTGAAACGACGTTTCATCACCTCATTTGGCTTTACATCAACATAGGCTTGGAAACTCCCATCACCTCATATAGGATTCATTATGCAACTATGCCAGTTCCTACTCAGGAACTACACAGACCCAGTAGTGGTTATGACTGGTCTTTTTCATTCTTGATTTGATTCAAAACACTGTACTCACTTTTCCAATGGATGGAGTGGACACTGTCCACCACCTAAGTCTGACATCAGGCGGGATCCTGCCCTCCGTTTGTCGGAGCGGAACTTTCCCTGCCGGCATTTACCTTCAGTCTTGACCCAGGCGCTGACCAGCCACACTTCCATCCCCCCTTGTCACCAAACATAGGGGTAATTCTTCCTTCTAGTTCTTTAAAGAATTATGAACCCAGTGTGATAAATCAAATTCCTTTACTCATGCAACATAGAGGGGAGGCCACAGCCTAGACATTCCCTCCTAACTTTCATAATACACTCCCTTATTAACTATACAGGTGTTAACTTTGAGTAATCACAATGTATATTTTCCTATCTTTTTAGACATACCTGTGTTTACATTCAAGCTAAGGAATATCAATCAGCTTAACTCAGGAACACTTTTAATCGCCGAAATAACATTTGCCTATTTTTATCTGTCAACATAATTCTCATTTATAAATTTAATGGATCTCAATCAAATAGTTTTATAATCAAGCAACAGCCACTAACAAACAGAATATTTTATTGGGCTTCTATCTACCCCTCCTCCTTGCAGCTCAGGGTCTGCAAGCTATAGCACCTCTATGTAGGCATGGGAGTGACTATATGTCTGTGTAATCCTAAATTCCTAAAATTCCACACATGCGCAATTCATTTGCCAATGTGACTTCGAAATGGACAGAGCTGCAGTTAGCAGCACCCAAGCTAAACGGTTACAGCACCCCCCTTTCACTCCTCACTAATCTCTCCACTTCTCTACAGAATCATAACGTCCTTCCAGAGGCTCATGAGTTTTAACAAGTTTCAAAACGTTCTCTCAATGGAGACTCATAGATTTTAACAAATTCAAAAACGTCCTTCCGAAAAAGGCTCATACATTTTATTTATATTTGAAAACGTCCTCTCAAAAGAAGCTCATACATTTTTAACAATAATGAACAGAATATCTTTCCTTAAAAATAACTAAACCTCCTGTTCTCAACCACAACATATATATATATATATAAATATCTCCTATAACATCTTATCATGACATGAGTCACATATATCAACCTCTGCACAGCCTTTCACACACAGCTGGAACACAGCAGAGACAGCACTCTCCACATACACACACAAGCTCTGTCTCTCATACACACACAAAAACTAGTTATCCAGCATCAAACATACATAGCCAAGTCACAAAACACACAGCAAATTCAACCCCATCCCAAAAACACAAACAGCATTCAACTCTTAATCCTCTAAATCAATTCATTCATACTATTCCTAAAGCATGCTTCTGCCGCTCCTTTATCCTTTTTCCCTTTATATTTTCCTTTCTAAATTTTTGCTACCTTGAAGTGTAGATATTCAATGAGAGGCTGCTTCAGACACCGTTCGAGTGGGAACTTACAATTGAATTTTTATTCTACACCTCCAGTTCCTTGAACTGACCTGAAATTCACCTAGTGACTTTCCAGGATTTGCGGCCCATCTAAAATCACCTCCTTGAGGGCTTTTGTCCAAATCAGCAGCGTCCTAATCCTTTTTTCCTTATTCCTTATTTTATTCAAGCCAAATTTCCCTGGGCCCAGGGTTGTCACTCTCTTTTTCCTTTAATCCAATTCGACTATTCCTTAAAGCCTACTTTCACGCAGTGTCTAATTTACACATGTCTTACCATTAAGGAGTTGAGGGCCCAGTCTCCATTAATCTTGCATAGTTCTTTAGCTCACCTTCTCGTTACTAATTAGGCTATTCTACATCTATTCCTTATCATTTACCTTATTTTCCTATTTTTCTATCTTCCCTAATTACACTCACACTCCCCCCTGTTGCGTTGTCTACAACGCAACACAATTTAGAACGGAATCTCTCCCCAAACATCAACACAGCATGGCACACACACACCCCAGGTCCTTCACGGTGTGACCAGACAGCACACACACACACAACCTTAACGAACGAACCAGCGCCCAAACGTGTGAGAAAATGCTCACCATATTTGCTGGCCAGGTGCAGGAGGTGGTTCGCTGAAGTTGCCAGGATGTAGCAGGTCACAGCACGTCCGGAGTTCGTGACGCCAAATTCTTGTGGTATATTAAGTAGCGATGATGTGAAGATGTGTTGAAGAGAAGTCCGCTGACACCATCTTGATTGTATTTAAAGGTTTATTACAAAAATGTACAGCATCATTTCAAGCCCCGGGAGCTTGGAGAGCATCCTGCCAAATGAACAACTCTGTCTATTTTGCATCGAAAATAGGTTTATATAGGCCTGTTGTTTACTCCAAAAATGGAAAGAAACATCTGGTTTAGCTATCAGATGTACTGAAATAAGGGGAGATGGGGGTTTTCAAGGCAGAGGTCAGAGGTCATTGAGAGGCCCCTAACCTAAACACTGCCTAGTAAGAATTACGACGTTGAACCTCATGTCTTACTAACACTGCATATGGTAACAAAAATATCAGTTCAACTTATACCAAAATGTAATTTAACTTTATAAGCTTAAGATAAGCCTTCAGATACTATAAGGGTCCATTAAAACGCTCAAATCCTATATGGCTGCTACTCCACCTCCTCGGCCTGTGCCTCAAGGAATCCAATCCAATCCAACTTTATTTGTTAAGCACTTTAAAACAACCAAAGTTGACCAAAGTGCTGTACAGGAGAATAAATAAGACATCATAAATAAAAGACATAACAGCTCACATGAGGCGCAAAATAACATATAATACAACAATAAAATGAAAAGACATAAATAAAAATAATAACCATGCAATAACAAGCAATCAAAAAGTAAAAATAACAAATACAAAAAATAAATCAAGTAAATAAAGTCGACATCTTACTAGGTGTCAAAGGCCACAGAGAAGAGATGGGTTTTAAGACCGGTTTTAAAAACAGACAGAGAAGAGGCCTGTTTAATGTGCAGAGGCAGATCATTCCATAATTTAGGAGCAGACACAGCAAAGGCACGGTCCCCTCTGAGCTTCCGCTTAGTTTTAGGCACACTCAGGAGCAGCTGATCATCTGACCTGAGGGGGCGGACGGGTATATAGGGGTGTAGAAGCTCAGAGAGGTAGGGCGGGGCAAGACCATTTAGGGATTTAAAAGCAAATAAAAGAATTTTAAAATGGATCCTAAATTGAATTGGCAGCCAGTGGAGTGAGGCTAAAATGGGGGAAATGTGCTCATGTTTACATGTGCCAGTTAAAAGACGTGCAGCAGCATTCTGTACCATCTGAAGACGGGCGATGGAGGACCCACTAACCCCCACATATAGTGCATTACAGTAATCCAGCCGAGTGGTAACAAAGGCGTGGATTACCGTCTCAAAGTGCTGCCTTGATAGAATTGGCTTTATTTTGGCCAGCTGCCTCAAATGGAAAAAGCTTGATTTGACAACAGCCTTGATCTGACTGTCAAACTTAAGCTCAGGGTCCACCTTAACCCCTAGGTTTGTGATGCTAGGTTTAATATACTGGGCCAAGGAACCCAGATCTACAGGGGGGATCCCTGTGGTGCCACCAAAAACCATCACTTCTGTCTTTTTATCATTGAAATTTAAAAAGTTCAGAGTCATCCAGGCCTTTATGTCGTCAAGGCACTTAAGTAGCAGTCTGACAGAGTATTCATTTTTCTTTTTAAGAGGCACATAAATCTGACTGTCGTCTGCATAACAGTGGAATGAAAAGCCGTGCTTCCTAAGTATGGAACCAAGTGGGAGCAAATAGAGAGAGAAAAGGAGAGGGCCAAGAACTGAGCCCTGTGGGACCCCACACGAGAGAGGAGCAGAGGAGGATACAGAGTCACCTAGGCTGACACAGAAAGTTCGATCAGCCAAGTAAGACCTGAACCACTCCAGTGCTATGCCCCTGATGCCCACCCACTGCTTCAAACGTGAGATCAGTATTTCATGATCCACTGTGTCAAATGCAGCAGTTAAATCTAAAAGCACAAGGATAACACAGTCACCAGAGTCAGTAGCTAAAAAGATATCATTAAAAACTCTTAAGAGAGCTGATTCTGTGCTGTGCACGGTTTTAAAACCGGATTGGAAAACCTCTAGAATATTATGTTCTTCCAGAAAGGCCATTAATTGACTGTGAACAATCTTCTCCAGGATTTTTGAAAGGAAAGGCAGTTTGGAGATAGGCCTGAAATTAGCAAGAACTGCAGGATCTAGAGCAAGTTTTTTAAACAGAGGTTGTACTACTGCATGTTTAAAATTTTCAGGGACCACACCTGAGGTCAGACTGCTATTTATGACTGCAATAACAGATGGTCCTACAGTGGGGAAAACCTCCTTAAATAGTCGAGGGGGGACAGCATCATTTGGAGAACCTGAGGGCTTCAAATGACCAACAACCTCCTGTAAAAAGGAAAAAGTCACAGGCTCAAAATGGTCAAAGACAGCAGAGCAGGGGACAGAGATTGAGGGGTCATAAGCTGAAGGTGAGATTTGAGCCCTAATTGAAGTGACCTTATCAATAAAAAAGTGAAGGAAGTTTTCACACACAGCGGGGGACGCCTCTATACAGGCAGTCTGTGGGGCATTCAGAAGTGAGTCAATAGTGTTAAACAAAACACGAGGCTTGTGACAGTTTGACAGGATAATATCTGAGAAATGTTTTCTTTTAGCATCTTTCACAGTTTTTTGATAATGACGCCAGCAGTTCCTTAACATTTGAAAAGACACCTGCAGTTTGTCCTTTTTCCACTTGTGCTCAGCTCTACGGCACTCACGTCTGACAGCATGAGTCGTATCATTTAGCCAGGGCTCAGATTTAGTTTTAGGCTGCCTGGATTTTAATGGAGCCACAGTGTCTAAAACAGTTTGGCAGGTGGAGTGAAACCATGAGCTAAGCACCTCTGTACTGCACACAGACTCAGGAAAGATGGAGTTCTGATTGAAAGCAACGGAGAACTGAACAGCAGTGGAAGGGTTAATAATGCGACAGCGCCGAGCAGCAGCGCGAGGTTTAACTGTATGACAGGCAAGGGCAGCCTCAAATAATACAGGCATATGGTCGGAAAACACTGCGTCACATATCTCTAGGTTAAAAACGGGCAAACCATATGATAAGACAAGATCAAGTGTGTGTCCATGTTCTTGTGTGGGTCCAGACACAGATTGCACAAGATTAAAAGAATCAATGAGGTTTAAAAAACCCTTTGCCATTGGCTTATCTGGACAACACACATGAACATTAAAATCCCCAACAATAAGAACACGGTCATATTTAGGCATGATTTCAGCCAGGAAATCAGAGAAGTCATTTAAAAAGTCCTTATTGTACCTGGGAGGCCGATAGACCACAGCACACAACACTGTGTGAGAGCGACCAAGCTCAAATAAGCTCAGTTCAAAGCTGGTGAAAGAGGATGACAGCAATAGCTGCTTACATTTATAATGACTCTTATAGACGGTAAGGAATGTGAGTATTAATATGACTGGGGGGGGTGGATTCATTTAGGCTAACATACTCCTCGTGGGACAACCAGGTCTCAGTAAGACAAAGTAAATCAATATCATAATCTGATATTAATTCATTCACTAAAACAGCTTTAGAGGACAGAGACCTGATATTTAACAGTCCACATTTCATTCTCTTATTTTGTGCTACTGAGGAGTTGGTTTTAATTTTTATTAGATTTTTATGTTGAACTCCTCTTGTTTTTATTTCTTTAAATAATTTAGGTGGTCGGGGGACAGACACAGTCTCTATGGGGTTTTGGGTGGGTGACTGTTCTAAAGAAAGCGCAGAGAAGTGTGTAAGACAGCAGCTCTGCTTCCTGGTCCTAACTCTGGACTGTCAGGTTTTAGAAATAAACTTCGCCATGTTGCTAGATAAGAGAGCCGCTCCATCCAAAGTGGGATGGATGCCGTCTCTCCTAATCAGACCAGGTTTTCCCCAAAAAGGCTTCCAGTTATCAATGAAGCCCACATTGTTTGCTGGACACCACCTCGACAGCAAGCGGTGGAATGACGACATGCGGCTATACATGTCATCACTGGTCACATTGGGCAGGGGTCCAGAGAAAACTACGGTGTCCGACATTGTCTTAGCATAATTACACACCGACTCCACATTAATCTTAGTGACCTCCGATTGGCGTAAACGGGTGTCATTACCGCCGACGTGGATAACAATCTTACTGTATTTACGTTTACCTTTAGCCAGCAGTTTTAAATTTGATTCAATGTCGCCCGCTCTGGCCCCAGGGATACATTTAACTATGGCCGCTGGCTTCGCTAACTTCACGTTTCTGACTATGGAGCTGCCAATACAGTCACTAGACTTTTATTTTGTCAAGCATTGACATGAAGTCTTCTGTGTGGATTAAAATTCTATGTTTAACCATGATGCTTTTATTTTGAAAAACAATAGAGGAAGTTGCTCTTGTTTTGACAGCCGTGTCAGGTGTCAGAGATAAAAATAAATGCAGCTGAGTGCAGAGTTGAATTTAAGGTGGACTGACATGTTTCTGTTCTGCTTTTATTTTTTGTCTGTGCTTTTATTTTGTGTCTTTAACTTCGGCATGTCTGAAAACAAACTGACTTCTGTGGATTTTGAGATTTTTGGGAACGTGCAGGGTAGGTCACATGTCACCTGTGTGTCACGTATGTAAGTGTGTATGTATAAAGTCACGTCATGTATGAAGTTACAAACATGTTGGTTTGTTTCTGTCTGTATGGTTCTCTTACAACTAAAACAATATCAAAATATGATATGAATAAATAAAAATAAAAATAATATAAATATATATGAAATAAATATATGAAAGAATATTCCTGCAGTTAATAAAATGTGATATCACTGCAGCTCAATTGTGATTTATTTAAAAAAAATAGAGTAAAATTATACAAAATGAAGTTCATTAGTTAACTCACAGTGAACTCCTTCCTGCCCTGTCTGTCTCCTCCCTTCATCCTCTCCTTCCACACTGCGGGTTACTGGTTATATCCCATTCTTCTGTCTGGAACCAGGGTTAGGGATTAGGGAGTTGGGGTTTGGGGTTAGAGGGTTAGGGGTTAGGGGTTAGGGGTTAAAGGTAAGTAAAATGTAAGTATTATATTTTATATAATATAATAATTCCATTATATGTTCATAATGAAGCTAATGAGCTGTTTTTCTGTTTTCAGGTGTTTGCTTCAGGATGGTGAGCTTCATGTTAAACATCTCTCACTCATATAAAGTTATAATAATATGTGATGCGATCTGGGAAAACCCGTCGGATGTCGCGCTGGCACGTTTCCAGGAAATAGTAAAAATAGGTCGATTGTCATTTATTCTGCAAAATTGGGTTTTCATTAAATTATTATTATATAACATCTTGTCTATAATTCCTGAAAATATCAATATAGTGAAATTCGCTAGTTTTATACATCAAAAATGAATTTATATTGGTCAAGCTGTCTGAAAGATCATCCTACATTTGAAACCGCAAACGGCGGAGGTGCATAAAAATCTCCCATAACGTGCTTTGCCTAGTCTATAAACACTACAAAGACGGTTCACCAATCAAAGCCCTTAACCACATGAATGAAGTCATATCATATCAATGCACATTTTCCCGCCAGATATACGTTGTAACAATGTGATATGTTTTGATGAACCTAACGTTAACGTTACGTGAGGATGTGAGAGTCTACGGAGATGGCGGAGCGCAAGAGAAGAGAGTCTGAGTTAGCTGCTCACTTAAATGAAGCTGCACGTCTCAATTTGGTAAATCCTGGCGATGCCAATGCCCTGAACGACGTGATCATGGATTATTTCACATCCAGAGATCCAAGAGATGATGAAGGATCGGATTATAATGAATTTACCGAAGAAGAGGAGTCCGATGAAGGTAAGCTAGCTATGCTATTCTTAATGTAAGATACAAGGTGCACTTGCTATTTTAAATGACCAATGTGTTAGACTTGTTATGAAAACCTACAAGGATAACGTTACGATTAAAACATCCAGCGACCGCACCAGTAATGAAACAACAATAAAACAACAGTAAAACAACAACAATTTACTAAATTTTAAAATGCCATCCCCCTCAGGTAACTTATCTCCTTGTGTAATGATAACCGTGATGTAGGTTAGCCTAGTGCTATTCCTGACGGGCTAGAAAGTTCCCTGGAATATTTCGTTCGTTCTGAGTAACTTTATCCATTACCATTTTCCCGTTATACATTTCTTTTGAACGGCGACACGAAGGCTTAAAACTTCAAATTAAAGCCACAAACTATGGCTGTTTATGCATCTAAGTTCAGCTGACATGTGAGTTTAAAACGGAGACTTAACGTTTATGTTAATGTTCGAGATGCAGACTGTTGCATTAACGTCAGGTTAATAGACTCGGTGAAGTTCATGATCAGTGACCCTCATTAGGGTATCTGTCTCGCTGAAGCTCACACAGACTGAGCAGTAATGTTGGGCACAAACACGCTGCCTCCTCTCTGTCACAGCACTGTAAACAGACACACACCAAGTTGTGCCCCCGCCCCCCTCACCTGTAGTTCTACATGCTTGAAAAATGGAGCGAGATCGACAGGCCAAGAGGAAAGGTGGAGCAGAGAGTGAGAGGCTTAAAAAGCTAAAAGCACTGACCACAGATCAGCGAAGTGCTGTAAAATAACTGACATGTTTGTCACAACCATGGTCTATCCAGCACCACTATCTTAATGAGGAGGTTAGTTCCACTTTGTGGAAGCTGATGGGCTAAAACTGACTTAATAAAACAAATGTAAGTGCAAATTTTAGAATATGGTTAACTAACATAGGCACAACATAATAAATTATATTAATATTGAAATCCTTGTATTACATTATTTCATTTAACCTTTATTTAGCCAGGTAAAATCCAACTGAGATTAGGAACATATTTGTTGTTATATGAACATAGCCAATGCATATAGAAATTGTCAATTAGTGAACAGAAACATTTATTTTGTAGGGGAAAGAAACAGAAAAAGCTGTGTGTGGGCACATGCGGAGCCTTTGCTCTATTATTTTACACTCTTACATCAGTAGGCGCCAAACCTAACTCACTCTTGGTGTTTTGCGTTAATCCGGTGGTGGTGGCCTGAATTACTGTCCCAGTCCGCCCCTGTTCATGATTGCTCCATGCTAGTGACAGTCAAGGCTGTAGTAGATTACATTACAGATGGTGAAGATGGTTTCTTCAGTCTGTGACATATTTTGCCATTTAAACGTAAGACATATAAATCTTACTTTGGGAGAGAGATGTTGGATTGAGCCAGATCCGATTGCTTCTTGTCAGCGTGCTGTGCAAGCCTGCACGTAACATGTTAATTTTTTTTAATAGTAGGCTACACCTTAACATATTGTTAACGTTTTGGTCGCACCTTGTCAAACAACATAATCTAATCATGATGATGATGATGATGATGATTTTGAGTAATAATAGTAGTACTACTTTAGTAGTAGCCTATGTCTTATGGGCATAGACATATTGCAATGGTGAAATACTTGTGTGATGGATTGTTAATGTTGATTATTAGTAATAATGTAGTTCAGCCTTTTTTATATAATACATATGTCTTACAGTTATTCATTCTTCCTCATTTCAGATGATGACCATCCCATATCCATTATTGAAGATGTAGCAGAGATACTACCACCAGTTCCACTTCAAGAGGATAATGGTGATGGTGTGCAAGAGTTTGTATGTGCATGCAAATACAACAATGGTCATCCATGTTCAACACGTTTCATGCAAGAGGAGCTGCAGATGATTCGCTACTGTTTCCTGGAAATGACAAGGGAAGAGCTAGATATCGCCATTCTAGCTAAACTCTCGTGTGGAATGCATCTTTTTCAGCTAACATCCCGCACCCATAAAAAAGAACAGACAGTTCGGAAGTCCCAAAGAACTGATTTCTTTCACCATGGGGAGAAAATATGCAGGGATACGTTTAAATATCTCCATGGCATTGGCCAGGTCAAGCTAGATGCTCTTATTAAGCATTATGAAGAGCATGGTGTTACTCCTCGAATGCATGGCAACAAAAAGCGTCAGCCTCCTAATGCACTGAAGAAAGAGGACAATATGTATGTTGCAGATTTCATTGTAAACTATGCTGAAACTCATGGCATGCATCTTCCAGGGAGGGTACCAGGCTTTTGGAGGAGTGATTTGAAACTTCTTTCAACTAACTGTACGAAGGTGAAGGTGTACTCTGATTACTGTGTGGCAGTTGCTGCAGCAAATCAGCGTGTGGTTTCTGTAGTTATGTTTCGTCGTATCTGGCGGGAAGTGGTGCCATTTGTTGTCACAATGCGGCCAGCAACTGACCTGTGTTGGACATGTCAAAAATATCAAAAACGCATTAGTGAGGCTGCCAATAAGGCTGATTCAGAGAAGGAAGAGCTGCATCGTCTGGCCACTGAACATCTGGAGAAAGCTAGAGTAGAGCGTACACACTATCAGCAACTTTGTAAGGATTCAAAAGCAAACTTGCCTGCTGGGTTAGAGTTAGGTCCACACAGTCCTTGTAGTTATGAGGGAATGGTACATTATAGCATGGACTTTGCACAACAGATTCACTACCCCAATGATCCCCTCCAACCAGGGCCGATGTATTTCAAAACTCCACGTAAGTGTGGAGTTTTTGGTGTAGCATGTGAGGCCTTGCCAAAGCAGGTTACTTTCTTGTTGGATGAATCCATACAGACTGGAAAAGGTAGCAACTGTGTTATTAGCCTTTTACACTCATATCTTGAGAATTATGGACTGGGTGAAATGCACATGCACCTTCATGCAGATAACTGTGCGGGACAAAACAAGAACTCCTTTGTGATGTGGTATCTATTGTGGCGTGTCTTGACAGGTCGTCATGTGTCAATCAAAATGAGTTTCCTTCTTGCTGGGCACACAAAGTTTTCCTGTGACTGGTGCTTTGGGCTCTTTAAAAGAAATTTTAGGAGGAATAAGGTTGACTGCTTGGATGACATTGCCCAAGTGGTTCAAAACTCAAGTCCATCTGGACTCAATGTACCATGTCTTTGTGGTAGAGAGGATGGCACTGTTCTTGTACCTATGTATGACTGGAGCACATTCTTGGGTACATACTTTAGAAAATTACCCACCATTAAAGGCTTTCATCATTTCTTATTCTGTCAGGGCTCCACAATAGTAAGAATGAAAAAAATCCTTAATAGTGAGGAAGTTTCCCAAGACTTAGGGAGAAATGGTGTCGACTTTGATGCACTTGACCCAAGTGCTTTGCCTGATCAACTCCTCCCAAAGGGGCTTGATGCTAAAAGGCAACAGTATCTTTACATCTTTACAATGAGATAAGGGAATTTGTGACAAAAGACAAGCAGGACTTGGTTTGCCCCCTCCCTCAGGCTGTAAACATGAATGAGGATTAATGTAGTGATTCTGGGGACAGTCATTGTATAATAGTCTTGAATACAAGGGTTGTATCTATAGTTAGTGTTGTTACTCAACTTTTCCTTTTTGAATTTACAATAAGTCATGATATACTGCATATTTCTATATTTTCTGTATATATATATACTGCATATTTCAGAAATTTTCTGCATAGTTATACTGCATATTTTTTATATTTTTCTGGATATTTATACTGCATGATTTGATGATATTCTGAATAATAGCAGAACAATAATTACATTGAATATTGTTTAACTTTTCCATTTGAATTTACAATAAGTCATGATATACTGCATATTTTTATATTTTCTGTATATATATATATATATACTGCATATTTCTGGTATTTTCTGTATTTATACTGCATATTCGTTATATTTTCTGCATATTTATACTGCATGATTTGATAATATACTGCATAAAAACAGAATACTGACATTGTCTAATACATGTATAATGTGCAGTAACTTAAAAAAAAGAAGAGAAAAAGTTATGTAAAACAAATTCAATTCATTGAATGTTGAATGAATAAATACATTCTTGATTTTCATCTAATTCATGAGTGTTGTGTGTTTGCTTGGTGCCAAAGTAACAATTTTGTATCTTTTCCAACATATACAGTGACTAAAATAAGTCTGTGCCATAATAGAGTAATGAAAATTTAAAATGTGATATTTGATTGTTAAAATGTTCTATTTAGAATGTCTATCTTTAAACCTGTTTTTCTCAAAATTCCGTTTCATAAAACCATGTTAATAAGCTGACTTCAGATAATAATAACATTTGTTACAGACATGCTATGAAAAAAAGGAAAACAGATTTAAAAAGAGCTTGAAAGCAGCTTTAAGGTGGTATCAGAATCTTAAGTTGGTAAAATTTCACCATGTGATGGGTTTTCCCAGATCGCATCACATATAATGCTGTAATGTTCCATACTTTTATGTTATATTAATCTCAGTTCATAACAATATAAAGTTATAACAATATAACACTGTTATGTCCCATAATGTATGAATAATATAATAATATGATAAAATGATGTGTTTTAGTTAAGCGTTTGTAAGTAAACATTAAAACCTGGATCTGTCTCTCAGTACACGGAGGATCAGGGCCGCAGTCTGGGACTCAGCGGCTGGGTGAAGAACACCAGATCAGGAACTGTGATTGGTCAAATCCAAGGACCTCCAGATAAAGTCAATGACATGTGAGTTCAAACTGACCAATCAGAGAACACTGACCTCACACTGACCAATCAGAGAGCAGGTTTTAGTCTATAAACTACAGTGATGTTAATGTCAATATAAAATAGTATCATATTATTTTTCTGTATGTTAGGTTTTGGAAATACAGTTCCCATAATGCCATGTTGTACAGGAAGTACAGGCCTATATAAAAACTACTACAACTGCTACATTTGGACATTGGAGCCACAAGGCCCTGTGAGAGTATCTGGTCACACCTGTACCTGGATGGATGCGGATCTGCTGAACTCTTCTTCTTCTGGTGTTTTCCAGGAAACTGTGGCTGAAAAGTGTTGGCAGTCCGAGCTCTCGAATTGACCGTGCCGTCTTCTCCAATGAAAGAGACATTTTAAAACTGGAGAGCCACGGCTTCTCCACCCGCTACTGAGCATGCTCAGAACCCTCTGAGGTCATCAATGTCACACCTGCAAAAAAAGTAGCATCACAAAAGATATTGATCACAAATAAAGACTTACCTGTTGCTCACCTGTCTGCCATACACACTGGTCCTCCATGACTTTACCTTCTTCTCTGCCTGCTTTTGCCGCTGACTGCCTGCTTTCAGTTTGTTTCATCTCAGCTGAATGACAGTAAAGTTCAGAGAGTGAATAAAGTTTGGACAGAGAGTGAAGGTGTAACTGCAGTTTTGGTCTGTGACATTGTCATTAGTTTTGTTTTATATTTTATTTATTATTGTTATTTTAATCATTTGTTGTTATCATTTTAAATTAATAGTCAGACATATTTACATTTTTCGAATTATGTCATAGATCATACCTCAAACAGTCACACTTACCAGAATCAGAATCATGAATATAAAGAAATATAAAAAGCAAAAATCAGCGAGGCCAGAAGTATAAATAGAAAACTGACGATAAAATACGAAATAATACTGTAAAAATATTTTATATTAATAAAGAGAATTACAATGGATTAAGAAAGATTCAATGTCCAGGAGAGAGGAAGTCATTATTTGATAAAATAAGAGTCTGTGTGATGATTGATGTGATCATAAATAAGTATAATCAGCAAACAGGAAGTGGATTTATCAAGAATATTACACAGTTAAACTTTATTAGTCAGTCAGAAAGGCTCAGTAGGTTTTTTATTAGATTTGTGTCCGGCGCTGATATCGTGCACACCTGGGCAACGAAAACGTTTTTAGAGCCAGGCGCTGCAGATGCTCTCCACCAACTGTAAGACCCAGGGCATGATGGGAAACACCTGGCTGTGGCCTGATCAGAGAGCTGATTGTCTCTTAGTTTTGACAACAAACCCCACATTTTCCTAATGTTCGGTGTGATTTTAATATTGAACTGTCGATTGTAGCTACTGCAGGTTTAATCTGTTACAAACAGATCTTGTGTGGTTGATAATAATAATAATAATAATAAAGTTAATTTTATTTTATTTTATATTCAAACAAAGTCTTCAAACTACAGGCAGCCTACAGATGATCTAACACTTTTATTCTCTGAAGGCTAAAGAAAGCTGTCCGACTGACTAAAGCTTTCTGTCTCCTAGAGAGAGTAGAACAGGAGCCAGAGCATTCAGCTACCAAGCTCCTCTCCTGTGGAGAAGAATAGAATTTAAAATCCTCCTCCTCACCTACAAAGCTTTTCATGATCAGGCCCCTTCATATCTTAAAGAGCTCATAGTACCCTATTACCCCTCTAGAACACTACGTTCTCTGAATGCTGGGCTACTTGTGGTTCCTGTAGTCTCTAAAAGTAGAACAGGAGCCAGAGCCTTCAGTTACCAAGCTCTTCTCCTGTGGAACCAGCTTCCAGTTGTGGCTCTGGAGGCAGACACCCTCACCACATTTAAGAGTAGGCTTAAGACTTTCCTCTTTAATAGACTATCGGGGGATTGCACATTCAATTCAATTCAATTCAATTCAATTTTATTTGTATAGCGCCAATTCATAACAGAAGTTATCTCAGGACACTTTTCAAATAGAGCAGGTCTAGACCGAACTCTTTAACATTAATTACAGAGACCCAACAGTACCACCATGAGCAAGCACTTGGCGACAAGGGCAAGGAAAAACTGCCTGTTAAAAGGCAGAAACCTAGGACAGATCCTCCGGCTCTAGGTGGTTGGTCGTCTGTCTCGACCAGTTGGGGTGAGAGAGAGAGAGAGAGAGAGAGAGAGGCAGAGAGAGAGAGAGAGCGAGAGACAGACAGACAGACAGGTGCACAGCAACAACAGTATTGGCAATGGCAGTCAAGCAGGACCATGGCAGGAGGCTCCACCAGGATCCATGAGAACCTGCGAGACGAGAAAGCACAAGAACTCCGGGGAAGAAGTGAAGTTAGTAACATGCATTAATGGGACATGAATGAGTGCAGAAAGAGAGAGGAAGGGAGGAGCTCAGTGCACCATGGGAAATCCTCCGATAGTCTAGGCCTATAGCAGCATAACTAAGGGATGGTTCAGGACTCACCTGATCCAGCCCTAACTATAAGCTTTATCAAAGAGGAATGTCTTAAGCCTACTCTTGAATGTGGTGAGGGTGTCTGCCTCCCGAACCAAAACTGGAAGCTGGTTCCACAGGAGAGGAGCTTGGTAACTGAAGGCTCTGGCTCCTGTTCTACTTTTAGAGACTATAGGAACCACAAGTAGCCCAGCATTCAGAGAACGTAGTGTTCTAGAGGGGTAATAGGGTACTATGAGCTCTTTAAGATATGAATGGGCCTGACCATGAATAGCTTTATAAGTGAGGAGGAGGATTTTAAATTCAATTCTACATTTTACAGGGAGCCAATGCAGAGAAGCTAGTACAGGAGAGATGTGATCTCTTTTTCTAGTTCCTGTCAGTACTCGTGCTGCAGCGTTCTGAATTAATTGGAGCGTTTTAATGGACTTATTGGGGCAACCTGATAATAAAGAGTTGCAGTAATCCAGCCTTGAAGTAACAAATGCATGGATTAGTCCTAGAGGTCTGCTTTATGTGGGAGTTAAATGACAAATCCTGATCAAAGATAACTCCAAGATTCCTGACAGTGGTGCTAGAGGCCAAGGTAATGCCATCTAGAGTAACTATATCTTTAGACAATGAGTCTCTAAGGTTTTTGGGGCCAAGAACAAGAATTTCGAGTTCAACATCAGAAAATTGCAGGTCATCCAGGATTTTATGTCCGTAAGACATGTTTGTAATTTAGATAATTGATTAATTTCATTGGGTTTGATTGATAGATATAACTGCGTATCATCTGCATAACAGTGAAAGTTAATGGAGTGATTCCTAATAATGTTGCCTAAAGGGAGCATATATAAAGTAAATAGTATTGGTCCAAGTACAGAACCTTGTGGAACTCCATGACTAACTGTAGTATTTATTGAAGATTCATCGTTAACATGTACAAACTGCGAGCGATCTGATAAATATGACTTAAACCAGCTTAGTGCGGTTCCTTTAATGCCAATTTGATGCTCAAGTCTCTCTAAAAGAATATTATGGTCAATGGTGTCAAATGCAGCACTAAGATCTAATAATACAAGTACAGAGACAAGTCCATTGTCAGAAGCAGTCAGAAGGTCATTATTAACTTTAACCAGAGCTGTCTCTGTGCTATGATGAACTCTAAATCCTGACTGAAAATCCTCAAATAAATTATTGTTATGTAGAAATTCACACAACTCTTTGGTGAATACTTTCTCCAGAATCTTAGAGAGGAAGGGGAGGTTAGAAATCGGTCTATAGTTAGCTAAAACCCCTGGGTCAAGAGTGGACTTTTTAAGAAGGGGTTTAATTACAGCTACTTTAAAGGACTGTGGTACATATCCTGATAATAAAGAAAGATTAATCATATCCAGTAAAGAAGTGCCAATTAAGGGAACAACTTGTTTAAGCAGCCTAGTTGGGATCGGGTCTAATAGACAGGTTGATGGCTTCGATGAAGAAATGATTGAAGGTAACTGATGAAGATCGATATCAGAAAAACAGTCTAAATATATATCTAAGTTTACAGTGACAGAAGTCCCTGAACTTGGAGAGCCACTGGTAACTATTGATGGCAGTTGGTGATTCATTTTTTTCTCTAATAGTAATAATTTTATTATAGAAGAAGCTCATGAAGTCATTGCTACTTAAGTTTATGGGGATATGTGGCTCAATAGAGCTGTGACTCTCTGTCAGCCTGGCTACAGTGCTGAAGAGGAACCTAGGGTTGTTCTTATTTTCTTCTATTAGTGCTGAGTAATAGGCTCCTCTGGCATTACGGAGGGCCTTTCTATAAATTTTAAGATTATCTTGCCAATTTGAGCGATATTCTGATAATTTGGAAGAGCACCATTTCCTTTCAGATTTCCTAGCTATTTGTTTTAACTGGCGGGTTTGGTGGTTATACCAAGGTGCTAGTCTCCTATGTTTTAATAATTTCCTTTTTATAGGAGCGATAGAGTCTAATGTTGATCGTAGTGAGCCTGTAGCACTATCGACAAGATTATCAATTTCAGAGGGACTAAAGTCGTTATAGGACTCTGTTAAATTCAGACATGGCATTGAATTAAACACTGAAGGAATCTCCTCCTTAAATTTAGCTACAGCACTTTAGAGGTTGGAGGCAACAGAGAGCTATGGGACTGCTGGAGAGAGGGTGGAATAGGAGGTTTGGACAACGTAGACAAAGAAGGGAAGTCATGAAGGTTGAGGAGGTGCACTAGAGGAGCGTCTCCCTCTTCCACTACCAGAGGTCCTAGAGGCAGCTGTTTGCAGCATGTGTCTCTCCCTCCCGCTGGGCTGATAAACACTGACATCATATTTTTACTATTATTATTTATTACAACAACCTGTGACACAAAATGGACTACATTTTAGAGCTCCCTCTAAAATCTCAAAGTAGCTTTCAGGGAAGTTCATGTCCTTTTCAGGGGAGCTGAGCTCCCTTTAGCTCATAATTCAAACCACGGAAGGTTGTTTTTTTTTAGCTTGTGTTGGACCAGAGATAAAGGAGTCCTTGAGTTTCTTCTTCATTAAAACTACTAGAATATTAACTGTAAATACAAATTTACTTTTTGAATTAAAAACATGCATAGGAGGTGAGTGGTGTCTGTAGGTGTTTCTTTCAGGTTGCATACAGCTCCAGAAATGTAGGACAGGATGTAACCTGAAAGCTGTGAGCTCATTCACTCAGATCTTCTCTCATCTTGACTGAAGCTGAACAACCTCCCCCATTCATTGTCCTCGCAAAGATACAACAACACACACACATTGTTCACGTGCACAGTTTGTAATAGTTGATGACTCAAATATCACCCTGCAGGCCAACACAGACCTTTACAGCACACTCATACACAGTGAGTCATGTGTGTTTTTGTGTTTCACCTTCAGGAGAAAGAATTTAATCCACACAAACACATTTCTTTATAAATAACGAGAACGTGTTGAGGATGCGTTCAGGTGCCTCTAATTCCCTGCATAAAATAACTCTTGTTCACTGAAGTGATTTTCTCTCTTCATGTGGAACTGTAGTGTTTCCAGTCTGAATTATTCAAACTACTGAAACTGAACACATCACACAGTGGATGATAGCATTAGCATCAGTTTTAGCGAACTGTGGTTCCATTAGCCGGAGCTGTTCATACACATCCATCATTTAAAATAAAAACATCTAAGCACAATGACCTTTGACCTTTGAGAGGAAACTCTTTGATTGGACAGAAATACAAACACAATTGCTTCAACTTTCAGTTTTTATTGTCATCTAAATGACATGGTACTTGTTTCGGTATCTTAAATTCATTAGTTTTCAATCAGGCTTTAGAACAACAGAACTGAAACTGTTTGGCGACTACTTTCTCTTTGTTAAGATTCCTGTATTTGGAAAGCCAGTGATACCTGTTGAGGGCATTTGGTGATTAATTTTGTCTCTAATAGTAATTTTATCATAAAAGAAGCTCATGAAGTCGTTGCTACTTAAGGTTATGGGGATATGTGGCTCAATAGAGCTGTGACTCTCTGTCAGCCTGGCTACAGTGCTGAAGAGGAACCTAGGGTTGTTCTTATTTTCTTCTATTAGTGCTGAGTAATAGGTGCTCTGGCATTACGGAGAGCCTTTCTATAGGTTTTAAGATTATCTTGCCAAATTGAGCGATATTCTAATAATTCGGAAGAGCGCCATTTCCGTTTAGATTTTTTAAGTGGCAGGGTTGGTGGTTGTACCACGGTGCTAATCTCCTATGTTTTAATATTTTCCTCTTTATAGGAGCGATAGAATTGTGGTGGATGGAGTGGGCCGGACAGTTGTTCTCAGTGAGCCTGCAGTACTTTTAACAAGATCAATGCCATATGATAGAACGAGGTCAAGAGTGTGATTAAAACAATGAGTTGGTTTATTTACACTCTGACAGAAGCCAATTGAGTCTATTAATGAGATAAATGCATTACTAAGGCTGTCATTGTTAACATCCACGTGAATATTAAAATCCCCTACAATAATAATCTTACTAAGATTAATCAGCATCCTCAGAATAAATTCCTTAGTTCTTGTTCTCTGTGCAGCGTCTGATATTGTCATCAATCTGTTACATCTCAGGAAATACAGGACTGGACCCAAAATGAAGCAGGCAACAGGATGACTTTAGTGGTTTATTTGATAAAAACTTGTTTACAGGTAACAGGTAACAGACTAGTTCTGGTTCGGGTTCGGGTTCAGGTTTGGGTGAAAGAAGCCTCAGAACAAAAACAAAAGAAACTACATCTGTGTGATATGACAAAATATATACTGTGATGAGAGAAGAACGTCTGTCGTTTATTTCTCTGTCTCTGTCTTTACAGCAATACTGTTCATCATTCGGATGACGCTTTGCGTTCTTCTACATGGAAACATAAACACAAACAAACATGGGGACAGTGAACATGACACAGACTGGGGACCAGCCATCGCTGAAAAAAACAGTGTCTTCATTTTATTATTTTAGTCAAGAACTGCGAGGAACACCAGTAACACTCGTCGATCAGTGTCTACCTGTCAAATCATCAAGTCCATGAGACATAATTGAATTGAATTGAATTGAATTGAATTGAAATTGAATTAATAATAATAATAATAATAATAATAATAATAATAAAAAGAACAACAATAATAGTCATGATAATTTCTTGTTATTATAAACCTTTCATAAACAAAGTTACAAAGTGTTTTACACGGTCAAACGAAGATTTAAACATTTCAGGATTGAAGCAAATAAAATAATACAGAAAGTAAAACCACAAATTTTACTAATAAAACAAAGATAAAACAATACAATAAATAATAAACAATAAATACCATTAATAAATACAGTCTTGACTTCTGTTATGATACAAATAAAATGTATTAAAAACAGGAAACCACCTAAACACAGTGGATCCTGGGTAAAAGGAGGTGGACATGCTGTGTGTACATGTCTGTACATTGCCATGGCGACCTCTGTCATGTCCTCCTCAGCGTGTTGCTATGGTAATGTGCTCCTGTTCTGAATCCAGGCAGTGAACTTCATGATCTGGTCGGTGGCACTCTGGCTCTCCTCCTGCAGACGGAGGTTATCCTGATGGAGGTTGAGCACCTGCTGCTGCAACGCTGCTTTATCCTGCTGCTCCTGAATGCACCACAGACACAGACAGGTCAGTGTGATGATGTCATCAGCTCACCTGTATGACACCAGGCTCAGGTCTTTTACCTTCAGCAGGTCAAGCTGCAGCTGACGGAGAATCTCCTCCAACTGGAAGACTTTACCTGAGAGGGAAGTTGCCGTGATGTCACTGGGGGAGGGTACATTATTATTATTAATATTATTATTATTTCTGGTGTTTCTTCACAGAAATACAAAGTGCCTTTAACCTGGGCTCTCAGGTGTACTTCCTCACCTGTCCTGCAGGGCGGAGGTCTCTGTCTCCTGATGAACGTCAGGGAGAGACAACGATGAAAGCATACCTGTTGATACAATTGATCATTAATCAATATGAACATTACATTAATTTTTAAAAAAGTGAAATAGAAATGAAAAACACTCACTCCACTTCATCGCCGCCTGCTGGCTTACACGTGGAGAGCCACAGGAGCTGGTGAGGGCCAAAGTCCTCCTGTACAGACTGTCATCTGATGCCGTCCGGGTCAGAGATCTCCATGGAGACGGAGGTAGGATCCCAGAGACTCTGCTGATGGACTGACGAAGGGACTAAGGATGATAGACAGGATGTTATCTGGTTAGAGTCATCACTATTTGATATCTTTATTGACAGCTGGACTCCAGGCTGTCCACCCTGCAGATGTTGATGAATCAGGGATCCTTCCTCTAGCGCCACCCTCAAGGTAAACGTTAAAAACGGACAAATCATCAGGAGCTGTGAAGGATTTATTGAAACTGCAGATTATTATCCTTAGTTAAAATGAATCGTGTTTACGGTGGCCGTAATATGCTCTGAAACTCAAGAAACACGCCACAAAATTTGGCAGTGGTGAAAATGTACGTGTCATGCACATGGGCGTAGCAAAATGGCTCAACAGCGCCCCCTAAAGAGCAACCCCAGAGGCATGTTTCCCCAATATGTATGAAAATCAATACACACATAGAGCATGTCCAGACATACAAAAAAGCCTCTTGGACCCAAACCGTACAGGAAGTCGGCCATTTTGAATAAAACATGAGCTTAAAATATATTTAATTAACCCTTAACTTATCTCTGAACAGTTTAATCACATTTTAGACCCAAACTACTTTTGAAGTTAAATATGTCAGATGTTGAGTCAAGCAACAAGACTAACCCTGACTGAATAATTACTGGAATACATCACTGAGATAAAGATTGAAGGAAAACTGATAGAAACTGGAAATGTTGAATTAATTAATTAACACAGTCAATAAAATCTAATCTATATGTTAATCTAACATATAAAAATGTATATATCAGATCACCGATAAACTGAAACTGATCTACTGGAACCCTCGGTAGTAGCAAGGTGATTGATTGGACGTGCTACGGTAAGCGTACTGACTCACTTCCGGTTTACTTCCTGCTCTGTGTACACTGTTTGGTGCTGTAGCTCTGTCAGTGAACGCTAAATATAAATTAGTTTTACTCGTTACAGCGGTTATTTACCCGCTTAACATTTAAACGTAGACTAGTTCTACTTAAACACTTGGAGTTTCTCCCTCTTTTAGGGACTTTTCACTACTTTCAAAGTTTTTCATACACTCTAGTTTCATTAGCATTAGCAGTTAGCTATGGCTTCTCCCTCTCCCTCTCCTCTGTCCTGCTCAGTGTGTCAGATGTTCAGTTATTCCTCTGCCTCCTTTAAAGATAATGGTACCTGTATTAAATGTAGTTTACTTACTGCGCTGGAGGCGAGGCTTAGTGAGTTAGAGGAACGGTACCGCACCATGGAGATATCTTTAGCCGCTATAGTTAGCCAGCCCCCAGTAGCCGGTGCGGTCCGACCGAAGGTAGCTTCTGTTAGCTCTGTAGTTCCCCCGGTAGTTCCCGAGCAGCCGGGAAGACAGGGAGGCTGGGTGACTGAGCGAAGGAAGACTAGAACGGCGAAGCCCACAGGTCACCACCAACCGCTTCACGTTTCTAATACATTTTCCCCACTCAGCGATACACCCGCTGTGGAACCAACTCTGGTTATTGGCAGCTCCATAGTCAGAAACGTGAAGTTAGCGAAGCCAGCGGCCATAGTTAAATGTATCCCTGGGGCCAGAGCGGGCGACATTGAATCAAATTTAAAACTGCTGGCTAAAGATAAACGTAAATACAGTAAGATTGTTATCCACGTCGGCGGTAACGACACCCGTTTACGCCAATCGGAGGTCACTAAGATTAATGTGGAGTCGGTGTGTAACTATGCTAAGACAATGTCGGACACCGTAGTTTTCTCTGGACCCCTCCCCAATGTGACCAGTGATGACATGTATAGCCGCATGTCGTCATTCCACCGCTGGCTGTCGAGGTGGTGTCCAGCAAACGATGTGGGCTTCATTGATAACTGGAAGCCTTTTTGGGGAAAACCTGGTCTGATTAGGAGAGACGGCATCCATCCCACTTTGGATGGAGCGGCTCTCTTATCTAGGAATATGGCGAAGTTTATCTCTAAAACCTGACAGTCCAGAGTTGGGACCAGGAAGCAGAGCTGCTGTCTTACACACTTCTCTGCGCTTTCTTTAGAACAGTCACCCACCCAAAACCCCATAGAGACTGTGTCTGTCCCCCGACCACCTAAACTATTTAAAGAAATAAAAACAAGAGGAGTTCAACATAAAAATCTAATAAAAATTAAAACCAACTCCTCAGTAGCACAAAATAAGAGAATGAAATGTGGGCTGTTAAATATCAGGTCTCTGTCCTCTAAAGCTGTTTTAGTGAATGAATTAATATCAGATTATGATATTGATTTACTTTGTCTTACTGAGACCTGGTTGTCCCACGAGGAGTATGTTAGCCTAAATGAATCCACCCCCCCAGTCATATTAATACTCACATTCCTCGAGGCACAGGCCGAGGAGGTGGAGTAGCAGCTATATATGATTCGAGCGTTTTAATGGACCCTAAACCTAAACTAAATTATAATTCATTTGAAAGCCTTGTTCTTAGTCTTTCTCACCCAAACTGGAAAACACTGCAGCCAGTTCTATTTGTTATAGTGTACCGCGCTCCTGGACCGTACTCTGATTTTATATCTGAATTTTCAGAGTTTCTATCAAGCTTAGTCCTTAAATCAGATAAAGTAATTATTGTAGGTGATTTTAATATTCATGTGGATGTTGACAATGACAGCCTTAGTAATGCATTTATATCATTAATAGACTCAATTGGCTTCTGTCAGAGTGTAAATAAACCAACTCATTGTTTTAATCACACTCTTGACCTTGTTTTATCATATGGCATTGATATTGAACATTTAATAGTCTTCCCACATAATCCTTTCCTATCTGACCATTATTTAGTAACTTTTGAATTCATACTATTAGATTATAAGCCATTAGGCAAAACTTCCTACAGCAGATGTCTATCTGACAGTGCTGTAGCTAAATTTAAGGAGGAGATTCCTTCAGTGTTTAATTCAATGCCATGTCTGAATTTAACAGAGTCCTATAACAACTTTAGTCCCTCTGAAATTGATAATCTTGTCGATAGTGCTACAGGCTCATTACGATCAACATTAGACTCTATCGCTCCTATAAAAAGGAAATTATTAAAACATAGGAGACTAGCACCTTGGTATAACCACCAAACCCGCCAGTTAAAGCAAATAGCTAGGAAATCTGAAAGGAAATGGCGCTCTTCCAAATTATCAGAATATCGCTCAAATTGGCAAGATGATCTTAAGATTTATAGAAAGGCCCTCCGTAATGCCAGAGGAGCCTATTACTCAGCACTAATAGAAGAAAATAAGAACAACCCTAGGTTCCTCTTCAGCACTGTAGCCAGGCTGACAGAGAGTCACAGCTCTTTCGAGCCACATATCCCCATAAACTTAAGTAGCAATGACTTCATGAGCTTCTTCTATAATAAAATTATTACTATTAGAGAAAAAATGAATCACCAACTGCCATCAACAGTTATCAGTGGCTCTCCAAGTTCAGGGACTTCTGTCAATGTAAACTTAGATGTATATTTAGACTGTTTTTCTGCTATCGATCTTCATCAGTTAACTTCAGTCATTTCTTCATCGAAGCCATCAACCTGTCTGTTAGACCCGATCCCAACTAGGCTGCTTAAAGAAGTTGTTCCCTTAATTGGCACTTCTTTACTGGATATGATTAATCTTTCTTTATTATCAGGATATGTACCACAGTCCTTTAAAGTAGCTGTAATTAAACCCCTTCTTAAAAAGTCTACTCTTGACCCAGGGGTTTTAGCCAACTATAGACCGATTTCTAACCTCCCCTTCCTCTCTAAGATTCTGGAGAAAGTAGTCGCCAAAGAGTTGTGTGACTTTCTACATAACAATAGTTTATTTGAGGATTTTCAGTCAGGATTTAGAGTTCATCATAGCACAGAGACAGCTCTGGTTAAAGTTAATAATGACCTTCTGATTGCTTCTGACAATGGACTTGTCTCTGTACTTGTATTATTAGATCTTAGTGCTGCATTTGACACCATTGACCATGATATTCTTTTACAGAGACTTGAGCATCAAATTGGCATTAAAGGAACTGCCCTAACCTGGTTTAAGTCATACTTATCAGATCGTTCTCAGTTTGTACATGTTAACGATGAATCCTCCATAAATACTAAAGTTAGTCATGGAGTTCCACAAGGTTCTGTACTTGGACCAATACTATTTACTTTATATATGCTCCCTTTAGGCAACATTATTAGGAATCACTCCATTAACTTTCACTGTTATGCAGATGATACGCAGTTATATCTATCAATCAAACCCAATGAAATTAATCAATTATCTAAATTACAAACATGTCTTAAGGACATAAAATCCTGGATGACCTGCAATTTTCTGATGTTAAACTCAGAAAAAACCGAAATTCTTGTTCTTGGCCCCAAAAACCTTAGAGACTCACTGTCTAAAGATATAGTCACTCTAGATGGCATTAACTTGGCCTCTAGCACCACTGTCAGGAATCTTGGAGTTATCTTTGATCAGGATTTGTCATTTAACTCCCACATAAAGCAGACCTCTAGGACTGCCTTCTTTCATTTACGTAATATTAGAAAAATTAGACACATACTATCACAGACAGATGCAGAAAAACTAATCCATGCATTTGTTACTTCAAGGCTGGATTACTGCAACTCTTTATTATCAGGTTGCCCCAATAAGTCCATTAAAACGCTCCAATTAATTCAGAACGCTGCAGCACGAGTACTGACAGGAACTAGAAAAAGAGATCACATCTCTCCTGTACTAGCTACTCTGCATTGGCTCCCTATAAAATGTAGAATTGAATTTAAAATACTCCTCCTCACCTATAAAGCTCTTCATGGTCAGGCCCCTTCATATCTTAAAGAGCTCATAGTACCCTATTACCCCACTAGAACACTACGTTCTCTGAATGCTGGGCTACTTGTGGTTCCTATAGTCTCTAAAAGTAGAACAGGAGCCAGAGCCTTCAGTTACCAAGCTCCTCTCCTGTGGAACCAGCTTCCAGTTGTGGTTCGGGAGGCAGACACCCTCACCACATTCAAGAGTAGGCTTAAGACATTCCTCTTTGATAAA